GTGTGAGGCAGTCTGCAGCCAGCTGCTGAGAAGACAGCCCAGGATGTTCCTTGTATGGCACCTGAGGTAACTCCTTGCTCACATCCTTGCTCCTGCAAGAAATGACCAGGGATAGAAGCTCACCTCTAGATCATGAGGCTTGGGAAGACTGTGCTGGGGCAGAGCACATGGAGGAGGGATGCTGGGAGCCTGTCTTGTGCTTCGTTCCCATGATTTAGCACAGCCCCCTGCTCTCTCAGTTTCATAAGCTCCTTATGGATATGTTTTTACTATTCTAAACAGTCACTTTCCCATCCTTAAATAATTTCTATTTTACTCTATTTTAAAATTATTCCTTTTCCTCACCACCATTTCCACATTTCCTTCGCTATGCTCCCAGTGGGTCTGACACTTCTACATTAATAGAAGACAGTGACCTGTGATAAAAATACATTTTTATGGAGTGCTTGGACAGGAAGCATTACAGGACCTGAGCAAGACATAAAAATACAATAAAGTATATGAAAATCCAGCTCCAATAGATTCATTGCCATGAAAACAGAAACAAGTGAGCAGACACCTTGGCAAAGACTCAATTTTTTGTACAGCATTCATGGAAGCAGGCAAGGGACAAAAGCTGTTGCAAAGTTATTTGGAATAGGGAAAATAGTAACTGAACAGAGATTACACATTTGGCCATTCTGCATTTTGCAAGCTAAAACAAAGAGGTGGGATAGGAGCTGAAAAATCACCTGTGAGAGTTTATACAACAGCACTGGGTCTGTTGGGCACTGGAGTCCCAGTAACATATCAGAGAACAAAGTTTGTCCTGACACCACCCAGAAATCTCCTGCTGAAGTGCAGGCCAGGAGTCTGCACCCCAGCCATGACAGGGAGCAGTGCAGAGACACAAGAACTGGCCTTGAGACACAGTTTCAATTGCATTGATCTTCCAGCTCACACCTGAAACTGGAAGCACCACCCCAGTGTGCTTCCAGCTCTCCTGAGCACACTGAGGAACAGAAAAAGGTCTCCTCCACCAGGTCTACCTGGACATACCCTGGCCAGAGTACACTGAGCTACCCAGGAGAGAGGGTAAAGAAGCTATCCAGTACTAAATTAGAGAAATTAACTCTGACAAACATTCCCAAGCACAGGAAAATCCACACATGTTTGCAGCCATACTACAGAATAGTAGTACATCATACACTTCTCCTTGACTATTAACAGTGATCAAGTTCCAGTGCATCTCCCTCCTTGCAGATCCTTTTCTTCTGGGGCACGAAATGCCTGTCCAGCCCTCAGGAGCTGGAGATCCTAGAAGACTCAGTGCAGGCAGCTGGCTTCTGTGGTAGCAATAGCAGCACAATCTTGGACCTTGAGAGCTTTTACTCCTGTGGGGAATGCACAGGCTGAGCTAAACTATGGACTGGGTATGCCTGTTTCTCCTTTTGGAAATTCAGCTGCCAGTGCCACAGAGCAACAGGAAAAATCAGATTCATTTCCACAGAGATTTTATCACCTCAGTCTTGGCACGGGAGAGGCATCTCCACCCAGCCGTGAGCAAGTGAGTGCATTTTGCTGGCTTTTTTTATATAATCAGAACAAATTCCTTGGAGATGACTCACAGGGTTTCAAGGGTGTCCAGAGAGATGTCAAGCAGCCTCAAGTGTAAATCAGTGACACACCTTGCTGAGAGGACTCCTGCTCACCAGCAAGCCCATTTGCCCTGCAGATACCAGGCAAGGGATGGGGCTAGAGGGATATTGCCAACAGGCTCCCACAATCCACACACACATGTGTGGCATCTCCAGGCCCAGGACACTGCTGGTGTTTACATTTCCTCTGTAAAGACAGTGATGTTTTCAGGGTGGAGCTGGAGTGCTTCCCTGCAGCTGCTCTCTAGGCTTAAACACTGAAGATTTTTAGACACTCAGGCTGGAGGAACTTGGCAGTTATTGAAGAGATTTGAACTTCAAAAATAGAGATTCTGCCCCACCAAAGCCTGGTCAAACTGCAGGGGTTCCTGCCTGGGATGTTCATTGTGGTGGATCAGCTGAATCCCATTGCAGTTCAGTGCTGTGATGATGCCATGTTAAGCAAACCTGCTCCATTCCCCTGCCCAGGAATGAACACTCCAGCCTCCATGGGTCTGCAGGCCAGAGGACAAAGATGATACTTGCATAATTTCAAAGTATAGCCTGCTTTAGTGGCTCTTTTAGAGGCTGAAATGTAGAGGAGGACCAGGAAGAACTAGGCCTAGACACAATCCCAGAAGTCCAAAGAAACACTGAGAAAAATCCTGTGGATGCTCTTGGACCTTTGGGTGTCAGAGCAGATGGAACAGACAAATCCTTGGTGGATCTTGGCTCTGGGTCAGTCTTCTTTCACTAATACCAAGGGCAAGGTTTGACACAGGGTGCCAATGCAGGCCAGCCTCCCCATTTGCAAGCTGCATGCAGGTGCATGCAGCAATGTCAAATCCCTTCCATCAAGCAGGTGCTTCCAGTCTGGAGTGGGGCAAATCTCTATTTCTGCATTCTTTGAAGGCAAGTGCAGAAGACACAACCCAGCTATTATGCCCTTCACCTTTCAACTTCACCCTCAGATGACTAACAATTACCAGCTACCATTAATATTAAATAGGAGAGAAAGAAATGTGATCCTCTCTTTGCTCTTCACATTCCACAATATCACAAACAATTTGTCATATTGGGAGGGGCTGAGGCAGGAGGAGCATTAATTATTGATACTTGGGAACAGATGGCTTTTCTTGTACCAGGGCAGTGAAATGTAAGAGGAGCCCGTGGGTGAGGATGTGAGGATTGGATGGGCAGACACATATCAGGTAACCAGCCTCCAAGTGGAACAGGAACCTTCCTCCTAGAACCAGCTCCACTGGGCTGCAGAGCTCCCAACAACAGCCCCAGCTGCAGAAACAAATCCACTGACATCTGAATTACTGAGGCTTCACCAGAACCTTTCAACGCTCCCTCACCTCTGTACAGGACATGATGACTGATGGCTTCCAGACAGCAGAGCCCTGGCAAATCAGCATACACTGCTCTCTCTAGGAGACTTCTCTGGTTGCATTTCACGTGTTCATCCTCATCTAACTATTCCTGAGACCCCATACAATGTCTAAGAGTGACCTCCTCCAGCCTTCCAGCAGCCTTGGATCCCATTTGGGCTGCTGGCCTCCAAAATCAGAGATCCAAGTGATACGGACCTGCAACTTCAACCAGAGACTCCGTTATCCAACTCTTTGCCAAATTTTCCCATTGATTTGTCCAAGGATGAAATAAAAGATTTCATTCTTGTTAGTTCCAATGGTGTCCTCATGTCCAAAATCTGACCGTGGGAATGACATCCTTATGAGACAGGAAGAACAACTGGGCAAAAGTGATTCTCCACCAAAGGCAGCTGATTCACCAGACTGAAAACAGTGACACCAAAAGCTTTTCCTGAAACTTTCTTGAAGAGTCTCTGTACTCCCTGCTGGATTCAGGCATCTGTAGCCATTTTCACTCTGGCCTAGCCATCTCTTTGCTGAAGATAAGGGATCAGCTGTACTGCCTCAGACCTGGGCCTGGGGAGCCCAGGGTCCTGTCTCTGGCAATGGTTATAAGCAGATGGTGATACCTCCTCTACTACTGCAAAAGTTATATTCCTTGGCTATTTTCCATTCAGAGATTTCATAAGCCAGACATCACCTCAATTCAATTTACTTCTTTGGACATACCCCTTAAATCCTCAAATAGGCACTCACTTCCCCAGCAAGGACTAATTAAATCCATGGTTACCCCATTGAGCTAAGCAGACTCTCTTGCCACCTCCACAGGCCCAGAAGGTACCTCAGGACCACTGTGTCAAGTCCCTTGTTGTACTGAGGACCTCCTCACAGCCTTTCCTAAACTCTGTTCCCTTAGCCTCTGTGGAGAGCTTCATGCTTCAAAGTCTCATTACTCTGATAATTAGACACACTCTTCTCATTTCTCAAGCTGACTAATCATTGATTTATAATTCCTCTCACTCTGCCTAGGGTCATGCAGCCTGCAGCCTGTGAGAGTACTAAGACACGTACAGTCTTGTGATTTGGAAAAACACAACTTCCCAGCTTCCCTCCTGGTCTGAATCAGTGGTAAAGTCCTTGGGGTGAGCAAATGCCAGGTGCCAGGGGACAGCTACTGTCCATGAAAAATACAACTTTCCACAGTGTGGAGTAGGATAGAGCAAGTTTCCCTACCCAGTGAAGAGGGAGAAGCAATCTTAGGAAGACCTGGGTCACATCTGCACTGGGAAAGAAGGAGCTCTCCCATAAAAGCACAAACCTTCCTACTACAGAAGCTTTGACCAGTGTCCAAGTTTGCTCTAGTTTGGTACAGGAAATGGACAGAGCTGAAGGCATCTATACTGCTGCATTATACCAATATGAGAGATTTTGTTCCTCCAAAAATGCTGTTTGTCTCACTGTGATAGTAGCAGAAAATGTGTTTAATGTAGACCTGTCTTTACAGAGCAGTCTCCACAGACCCAGTGGTGCTCACAGCAGTGAGGTGCTGCTGAGGAGTCAGCTGAGAGCTCAGGTACACAGGCTGATCTCACCTCCCCCATACTTCCCAGGGCCTGAGGAGGGGATCAGCTCACAAAAGAAGCCTATGGAGTAGAGAGCAATCCAATGGATCAAAAAGCAGGAGAGGGAGCATCTTTTCAACCCCAGAGCAGAACTGCTCCCTTTCACACTCCTTGGGTTAACATTTATGTGAATCCTTTCCCTGCCACTCAAAGAAGAAATTACATTATATACACATTCCAGAGAACTTTTCCCAGCAGTAATAACCATTTTTAACATACACTGAGCTTGGGAGAATGTCTAGAATTTTACAAGCAGATGCATGAGCAGAGCTGAGTTATGATCCACACAGCACAGCTGTAAGCTGACATCACGATCCCAGTCAGGCTCTGGAGTTGGGGTGGCCAGTGGGTTTGGGAGGAGGATGTGCTTGGCAGGAGCTCCCTACCTCTTTGATGGCAGACATCTTGATGTTCTCATAGTAGTGCAGCGGTGCATTGGGTGAGCTCATGTCATAGCCAAAGCCAGCCACCGCCACCTCATCGCAGTTGTGCAGCGCCATGGTTATTGCTACGCTTCCCAGGGTGGGGATGTTCTGAGAGGAGAGAAAGCAGCAATGGAAGTCATTAGCAGGCTGTCATCTTTATCATCAAAAATTTCCTCTTATTGTCTCTGCTCATGGGGGCACTGCTGTGACTAAGCAGAAAATCAGGAACGTGGTATTTGGCTATATTCAACCTGCCAGCTTGCAGGGTTGATAGGCTCCCAACTTGTAAAGAAATTAATGCAAATGGTCAGACTCCCCTTCCACAGCTTTGCTGTCCTGAGAACAGGGCAGCAGATGAGCTGGAGGATGAATCACAAGGATACATCAGCCTTCTGAAATTAAAACAGACACAGACAGTGGATTACAATGTCAATGCACGTTACTGGCTTCCAGCTAGGCTAAGGAAGAATACTTATCCCAAACAGGTCACCATACAGGAGCCAAACTGAGGAACAGCACAAACAACTTATTTTACTGATGGCAAATGCGGTTTAAGGTTGTTAAACAGCTCTGGGAGATGGAGAGGAGATCAGGCAGTGTGTTCCAAGGTCCCTTCCTTTTCTCAGGGGCACCTTGATAGTGAGGGGGCACTCTGGCCTGTGCCATTCCCTCCAAAGCACACACTGGGAAAACAAGAAGCAGTGGGAAGCCAGTCAGAGATGGGTGGTAGCATCCAGGGGATACCACAACTGCCCTTTCCCATCTGCTGACCTGCAATTTGCACTGATGTCCAGCCTTAGCCCTTCCCATGTCACTGGGCTCTGGCACTGTGACAGCAGTGCTGTACAGCTCCTGTGTGTTCTGCTGGGACAGCAAAGTGTTTCCAGTGTAAAATCCTAGCTCACTGACTTTTCTAGCTCCCCTTTAGCCAGATAGATAAATCCAGAGGCAACTTTGCCCCAGGGCCTAGGGAGAGGCTGAGAAATCCACCCACATCTTCATTTGTTGAGTATCCAAGACTGGTCGTATTGGAAATATCACAAATTCAGAGGACATGCTCAGACAGTCACCAAGGGTGACAGCTCTTAGCTGAGATGTAGAAACCAACTGCACTCTTATATTTCTCATTTACAATGATTTACCCTGAACTGGTGAGCAATGCTATTGCATGTTCAAAAAGGTTGAAATGCTTTGAGTTTCTGCTTCTCATTCAAAGGAACTGGCTTTTTTGGCACATGACTGTGTTCACTTCTGATTGCCTGACCAGTCTGAAGGAAACTGTTTTCCAAGCAAAGAATGCCACCCATATCCCAGCTGAGATGTGCAGAGCTGGGAGCACAACTCATGTGCTATGTAGAACCCCACTACAGTGCACCAGAATTACTCTGATCTGAAAACAAACAGGCAAAAACTGCTTATGGCTAAATCAATGAGACATTAAGTTCAAACATTTGCAGCACAACAGTAACAGAGCACACCTGAAATGACAAGATCTTCTTACATCCCGCTGTTCCAGCTCTAGATGTCAGGAAAAGCAGCAGAATAATTTAGTTCTCACTGCCTAATTTCAATTGATACCCACAGAAACAATACTGGTTTTATTCTAGTCACTTTAGTTAACTGTTAATTCACTGGCAGCCAAAAAGTATCAAGTAGGGGTTTCAAAAAAATGGAAAAAGTTTATTAAGCAAGGATAAGAACATTGCCCCAAATTTCAAAATATCCAAGAACATCCTGTCTTTCCAGACATGACAGTTTTAATTTTGATTTCTCTGCTTTATGTTTTGCATAGAAGATGACATTTGTATGTCACTGGGATTGCATCAGTTGGTAAGCGGACGTGCCACAAACCCTTTCCCTCATCAGAGCTGTAGTTACAGTGTCCAAAACACAGTGAGTAAATGGTTACATCCCTGAGACTGTGTCGTCATTGGGAGCACCATGGTGTTAACACCACCCACACTTGCACTGGGCCCATTCCCACGGTACCGCTCAAGGGAGACACGGGGTCTTTGCCTGGAGGGAATTTCACTGGCCAATTTAACATTTAAGAGCTAACTTTCTAATGTGAGTCTTGCAAACCACAGAGAATTAATCACATTACCCAACCTTATGGGAGGACTGCCAAACTTTCTTTCAGGCATACTCTGTCTGGAGAATAACAGTAGACAGAAATTGAAAGTGAACTTTCGTTTGGTCACCAAATCTGTCTGACTTTATTCTTTCTACAATACATCCAATGATATTTATGGAAAAATACAAGGTAGTTCTCATCTGCTTCTGTTCTTCAGTAGTTCCTGACATGCCACTATCTTAGTACCACCTGCTCTGCTCTCAAAAATGATTAAAATACCAGAGACTACCTACCTTCCTAACCTCTTGAATTGTAGTAGATGTATCTGATTTGGCCTCTATAACTATCAGAAATTCACAAGATGTCCTTAGCAAATTGTTTTGCATTACCCTAAAAATCACATCTGGAAACGGATGATCTGATGACAGTTTCTTAATTATGCCTAATTGATGTTAGCACCCTCCAACACTGCAGTAGCTGTAGTTTAATATGTGTCCCCCTTGAAGACAAAATTCTGCGGCTTTCAGTGGTGAGATGCAGCCTCAATCCCACTGCTGCAGTCAGAATCCTGTGGGCTAGAGAGGTGCCTCTTCAAAATACTGTCAAAATGATCACCCCTGCTATTCACTGAGGGCAGTAGCTATTAGGGCAGCACAGGGGCGCTTGCAGAACTCACCCACAGCAAATGGTGAGGATAACAGCACCTGCCTAAGAGAAGAACATGGTGCAAAGTGTGTGTGCATCCACACGTGCCCAGATCACATACACATAAGTGGGCACTTGCTCCAAAGTGCTTATCTTTAAAAAAGAAGCAACCATCAAAGGGATTAAACAGTAACTAGGGAATTAGACAGTCTTGAAGAAAATGGAGCTGCCTTGAACCAAACTATATAAAAAGTACAATTGTTGATTAACTATGTGTCATTACTTTAGTGTCAGTACTTTAGTCTTGATTTGGTTTAAGCTATAGAAACTGAGCCCTGTTCTCCTGTGGCAGCCTGCTGAGATTCTGCTGCTCCTGCTGCCTGTTGAAAATGAAGCACTGCCTCATGCCCAGCTTGTGGCATGGGAAAGACAACACCCTGTAGGATCTAGGGACATTTCCCAGGCTGTGCTGCAGAGAATGCAGCAGAGCAGCACTCTCAGGTCCAAGGGCTCTCCCCTCCTTTCCTCTTAGCAAAGAAGTGCCAAATAAGAGGAGACACATTATTAGAGAGGAAGTGGCTATAACTACTCCCTGGCTGCATCTACAGAGCTTCCAAGCTCTCCTTATTGTACATTTACATTCATTAGCTGCTAACCCTTAATCTGGACCTAATGGACCATATACAACCTACGGGGCAAGCTGGGGGACAAGTGACTCCAAAAGAAGTTAAGCATCATGGACATGGCTGTGCCAAATCTGGCTTGCAATGCCCTGCACAATGTGTCAGTGCTATCTCACCACACACGCCCTTGAGCCGTGCCCCAAAGACATACCAAAGCAACCACCACACCTCCTCTGTTGAGTTATGAAAATAAAACTCTCTCAAACCACTGAGCAGGACTCTCGTTATTTGAGGCTTTTGCTAAGACAAACCCCCCCAAATTCTACCATCTTGTCTCAGGATAATAATCTAGTGTTAGACCAGTTCAAAGCCTGTGTTCCTGCACCCTCTGTGCTTGGGTGCTCCTGTGTCACCAAGCAGTGCTGCTTTTAACCAAATGGTTGAAGAGCTACAGCCCCACAGCAGCCAGTGCTGAGGCAGGAGCCCCTTGGGATGCCTCCCAGCCACACAGAGACTGCCCAGTGCAGGTTAGACCTGGAAAGGTCCAACATGACCACTGCTGCAGATGTGGCCATGATGAGTCTCTGACCTGAACTGGTGCCCAGCAAGCAGCGTGAGCTGGGAATGGCAAAGCCCAGAAATCACTGGCAGCCTTCTCTCCTTGTCAATTCTCTGCCACAAGTCTTGAGCTTGGCCTTGCAAGCTGTGTGCCAATGGTTTCTGGGGACCAGAAATGCCTTTAGCAGTACAGACATAGGACAGGCTCTCCTGACTGCTCCTACACTGTTCTCTGCTGCAAGCAGGAAGAAAAAGGCTTCACCTCAAGACATGGATGTTTCATCTTCCATTCTGCCCCCTGAAGAGGCTTTAAAGACTGACTTCTACTCACATAAGGAAAGAAGTCAGTCAGCAGAAATGAACACTGGAACTCCTCTGGACTCTGTTGAGGCTGACCATTACCTCGTGGGCTTGTGCTGAAGATCCAGTGCTGGTGACTGAACTAGGGCTGGAACTGCTCTTTGCCTGGTGCATGTGAAAAGCTCTTGCTGCTTTTCATTCCATGCCTGGGTCATTCCTGTGTCACTGCCTGCTGGACTGGAAGGAAATGACTGCTGTAAATCTGTTTTTAGAAATATTTGACTCCCTTAATATGTTAAATGAATTCCAGTTATTTATGGGATTTTACTTAGTTCAGGGTATTATTGGATTGTTCAGACTATTCCAATTGTTACCTTTTTCAATAAAAGGGTAAGTGTTACTGAAGAATAAACTCCCTACAAACAACAATACACCTGGATATTTAAATTGGTTTGACTACTATACTAAATGATTTGAGGAAAAAATCAAAAAATTTGCTTACCTGGGAAAAATTCTTACCTTAGTTTTATCAGTTACAAACCTGATCACCTAATAGCATTGAAGTTTTCAAAACAAAAGAAATCCAGAACAAAACTATAATAGTCATCTCAACATACATGAACTATCACTTTTGTTTCTTTATGTTTTTATCAGAGCAAATCCAAACCTACCCTTTGTTTCTTTAGCTGAAAAGCTGGAAATATGGCATAGAAAGCAATTTGGTGTCATTCACTGTGAGCAAGCAAGTGCCTGCATTCTGTGGAGTGGTTCCTGTCACAGGAGCTTACAATGCACATTGCTGCTCCTAGAGCTACCTCCACCCCTGCCCAGAAAGAGCTGCAATAGTGGGCTTCAAAAAACACAGCAGAGCATCTCAGTGCCCTTCCTTCAGCTTCCCTGGCTGGGAGTGGGACAGAGCCTGCAGGACTGGCTGTCTGCAGCTGAGCACAGGGAAGGGCCAGCAGCTGGTGGCTGGAGACAGGACAGCCCAGCAGGCTCCCTTCTGCCACTTCTCTGCTGAGTTCCTCAACACCCAAGCCCAGTCCAAGTATTTTTGACCACATCTAACCTGATGGACAAGCTCTGATTCACCATTTGCCATAGAGCAGATTCCTGTGCAGTGCAGGGAGTATTTCTAAAGGATGTAAGGACTTAACAGAATGCAAACTTTACTACATGACTTTACTACACTCAACCTGCTCTGTGATAAGCACATACACACTCCATGCTAAATGGGAGTTCATGGTCTACTCTTCACTGAGAAGCAAACTCCCTTCAGTTCCTTGGCATCTCTCATGAGCAGAAGGAGGTGGCTGGGCTTGTACCAAGAAGAAGCTGCTATGGAGCATTTACCTGCTCCCCAGCACCAGTTTGTGTGAGCATCCCTTCCCCAGCAGCTCATGGACTGGTCCCACTGCAGTGGCAATGGGTGGAACAGCCCAGCCCACAAAGCAGATGTGCTGCCTTGCAACCCCAAAGCTTTACAGTGACAGTAATTCTCTACATTTGAATGACTGCACCTGCAGTGGCCCTTACCTGTCCCTCCACCTGCCTTAGAAGATGCCAGCAGAGTGCAAAAAAGGGAGAGCCACATGACTGGAAAGGACTAAGTGGAAGATTGTTCTGCTCCTGCCATCCCCACCTCTCTTCTACCCCACAAAGACCCAACAGGTTCCAAGACACAGCCTTCACAAAGCCACAGTCCAGTAAGAACAGCCCAGGAGACAAAGTTTGCAGACACCTGGGCAACTCATGAGAGATAAGGTCATGATGATGAGACAAGGGAGCTGAAAAGTGCCTAAGGAGCAAAGGATTCCTGCTGGCACCTCCAGAAAGGCTGCCTGCCCACAGGAAAAACCATCTAAGAGTCTGCCCACAGGAAAAACAAACCATCTAAGAGCTATGAGAAGCTGTGGCCAGGACAGGCTAACACTGCAGCATCAGAGGTTAATCCCTGAGATGTCAGCACCCTGCAGAGGTGCTAATCCATGGCTGGGTGCCTGAATCAGCCTGGTAACACCTCCTGCACATGGCTCCTCCTTCACCAGCTTAGTGCTGAGGCTGGGTGCAGTCCAAAGAAGGATGCTTTATTTTTTTAGTTTATAGATTCAACCATTTCCAGTACATGAGCAAACAAAAGGCTCACAGAGTTGGGTTAAATCATAAGCAGGTTCATGGATGCACAGCACCAGCACAGAGAGTGAAACAAACACCGCAGTCTGCACTGGAGTCCTCAGAATTCTGATAATTTGTGTCACCTGAAGTGTTCTCCTTTCTGCCTCACACCAGGCTCAGGGCTCCCAGAGGAGCCAGAAACACACTGCTCCCATGGCTCTGAGGGCTGCTGGCTGGACAGGACAATGCACTACACAGCCAAAGGCACCACAGCAGTGACCACCCCTAGGTGACACCTCTGAGTGATGCTCATGCTTGTCCCCCAGTAAACTGCCTGCAGTGTAAAGGAGAGCTATTGCAAGCTTGAACCACCAGCTGCAATACCAGTGATGGCTGGTTTCAAGCCCCAAAGATCTGTACAAACAGAACTTCCATCTGAACAAAAATCACATTTGGCTAGTGAGAAAGCCAACCTTGCACCCACACCTTAATAGAATTCTTTATTCAGAGAGAGGATCTTTACTAGATTTTTTTTTTGTGTGCTAAACCATCTTCAGGTTTAATTAACAATTATTTTCCCCCAGATATTGCTAGGAGCCCAAAGTTTGTTCTTTATGATCAGCTTATCCCACGATAGAGAATTCTACATACAGTATGGAACAGCTCTCCTACTCTTAAGACTTCAGTAGGACTGAAGAAAACTTCTAAAAAGTTTTACCAGTCCCAGAGAGAAGTCACTATTCATTGTGGGTGTGAGTTTTGCTCCTTGCTGAGGCTTTTGGCTACCACTGCCATGAGTGCAATCAAAATGCACATCTGAGTTGTACCCCATTACTATACTCCAGGATCATCTGGCCCAAATTATATTATCAAAGCAGAGGATGTTACTACATTCACCCTTTATTGAATCCTGGGAAAAACGCTTTGAGATCAGCCCCAAACTATTTTACTAGCTCTGCTCAACCTTGCTGGAAAAGCCACCAAATTACAAAGTTAATTGGCAGCACATTGTTACCATATGTGGTGTGCAAGAGAAGCACTGAAGTTTATTTAGGCATCAGAACCAAAGGAGAGTGGAATATTACTGCTCTTTATGAGGATTTTGTGTTGGCCTTGATTACGAAGGCATCCCCAGCCTTGATCGTGCAGTGTGCAGCCTGCCCTGCCCAGCACAGCACAGCACAGGACAGGACAGCACAGCACAGGACAGCACAGCACAGGACAGCACAGCACAGGACAGCCCAGCCCAGCACAGGACAGCACAGCCCAGCCCAGCCCAGCACACTGCAGCACAGGGGCACCCGTCTGCCTCCAGCCCCATCTCCCAGGAGAAACTCTGCATACACTGCTTGCTGTGCTTCTGCTTCCTAGTCCTCAGCATTTTCCTTTTCCATGTTCATATGCTTCTCTCTTGAGTAAAGTTTTCCAGGCTATCTCTCAGTGCTAAAGCACAACCCCAAACCCATCCAGCCGTGCAGCTGCTGGGTCACACAGATGTGGAACAATCCTCCTTGCTGCCCCCCTTGTCTGGCTGGATCACTCACAAATCTTCAGTGAGAGCTGGATTCTTGGCCTACAGGCTCTGATTTCCACTCCTCCCATTTAAAATCTGAGCAAAACATGTAGCAAATTTGTATAACCAGGGCCTTACTCAGACTCTTCCCTCTTTACCCTGACAGCAATAGCTCCTGTTGGAGCCTTTGCACTTGGAAAGCTCTAAACCTTGTGGTGGTGCAGCAGAATTCACTAAAGTGTGAAGCCCCAGCAGTTCCATGACAGCAGTCCATAGCTGATGTTTGCAGTAAAATTGTAGCCACAGGCCAGAAACTCTCTCCCTATTTTTAATCCTGTTTTAAGTCCCCTGCAGAATCCCTGTACCAGGGTTCTTGCACAGACCGCCCAGGCTACCCTGACATCTCAGCCCCACACAGGCACCTGCAGAGCTCCTGTTGTCCCATCTGGAGGAATAAACTACAATTCACACAGTCTACTAGGGGTCACAGGCAAACACTGCTTGCCTTAAAGAACCATAAACTATTCCTAAATGCTCAAATAGACTTTTGTGAAGTGAAACATCAGGTTTCAATTAAGATGCCTTCATTTCCCAATCTGATGTGTGTTAAACAACCTATCAAAACCTCATAAACTTCAGTTCACAGCATTCTCATTTCCGGATTCTCTCTTCTCCTTCCAGTTTAAGCAATAACTTGTGTATTAAAATAACGTGTTTAAAAAGAAAAATAAATGGGGGGAAAAATAAAGTATGATGATTTTTGTCCTTTATTGGGACACCACTCCTGATTTTCTGGAAGACACATCAAGACCACATTGTTCTAAGGGTAAGTTCTGGAGAATGCAGAGAGATGAAGTAAGTTAATTCCTAGCTGACTGGAATATTTGCAATAAGATACCTTCAGTGCACAGAACAAAAATCCAGAGTTCCCAGAATCCCATGACAGCTTCTGTACACAGCAGTGTATTTTTCAAAAGGGCCATTCCATGTGGCTGAATCTGTCTGCATATCTTGCATTTTGCATTTCGAGAAGGAAATGTCTTATTGTGAGGCATCCACCCATCTGACTTGCACAAAACAAAAGTCTCTAATATTCCAGAAGTCTACAGGATATAATTATTTGAGCATGAGGCACTATTCTGTCTAGTCCAAATCCCTGCTGAGACACAGAAAATCTCCTGCACTGACAGCAGTGGAAGGACAATGCCAGGGGTAGACCAAGCAGACCTTGTCCAGCAAAAGTGCTTCTCTCTGGATTTGTCAGCTGTGCTAATGTGCCCAAAAATGTCACGTGTGGTCTCTATCAACAACTATATCACATGTGTACATGAGCAATTTACCCACCCAAGCAATACTTACTCTAATGGTTGATATATTACGTAGAGCAAATATAAATAGGTTCTGAGGACAGTGTTGCAATGTGAGATAATCCAGAAAACCCAAGTCACCACCTACTCCAACACTAACACTCCAAAAAGCTGCACTGGGGGTGAGAGGTACAAGAATGAGCATTAAGGAATCTTGTTAATAAATATGAGCTAAAACTGTGGTTTGCATTGTTTTCTTTTGTGAGTTTTTACATATAAAACTTGTTGGGATAAGTTTTATATGTAAATTTCTTACCAAAGGCCTCATAAAGCAAACCTTTACCTCTTCAACTATCAGCTGGGGATGCAACTTCACAGTGGCTTTCAAGGCACTGCTAAAGTGTTGATGATCCCCCAAAATCCTTGGATCAGGAAGGTTCTTGCCTGGGTCTGAAGGAGTCTGAGAGCTGTGACTGTAACAGAGCCAAAGTCCCTCCCTTTCAATGTCCAACAATGGAAACCCAAAGGAAAAATAAGAACAATGTAAGCCTCCTGTGCTGCTTGGTCTCACATCCTTCTGTGAGGTTTTGCTCCCTTTGCTCTGTACCTACCCCTCTGCCCATCAGGCCGTTGTTGAAAGGCAGTCCAATGAAGCTGAACGCTGCCTCCTGGATGAAGTAGGGATTCAGGATACGGATCTCATGAGGCTCCCTTGGGACACGGGTTGCCACTGACTTCCAAAAGCCATCAGAGGCACTCTGGTAACAAAAACAGAAACAAAAACAAAAAGGAAAAAGATTAGGCAACAAACAGAATTATATACAAAATATAGCAGATTTCTATTATTTTATTAAGAAGTACATTATAACGCACTTCTGCAGCAGTTTCCATTGTCTCTGCTCACTGCCACAGGGCACTAGTATGACATTGTAGGGCATGTGTGTCTCATGGAGAGGTGGCAGCATGGACTGATGCAGTTGACCCAGTCTGGATAGTAGCTGAGGGAGACAGACATGCCAGGTCTTCCCACTTTATCCTATATTTGTCCTTCCCTGTTAGGTTTTATGTGAATTAAGCTGTAAGTTTATAGAGGTATCATCTTGTCTTGTGAACAGTCATGAATGTTCACAGTACAAGGGAGGAGACAACTAAGTATGTCTATTATTTTTACCCAATTCAAGTTTTCACTCTGCACACATGGAAGAACAGTGGCCTTGATGTGTGCTGCACTCCTAGACAGCCTTGCCTGGGGAGGGGCTGGTGCCACTCTGCCACATGGCTTCCCATCCTTGCTCACTGATGGCTTTGCATCATTGCTTGCCATCACTGACACCTTTCCAGGTGTCAGCAGGCACAGCACAGAGTGCCCCCAAAATAACCAGAGGCTCTGTGCTCACAGGACTTAAGGAGCAATTGCATTCCAATGTTTCACTTCTGTTTGGGTTAATTCAGAGCAAGGCACAGGGAGGATGGAAGGAATATTAATCTGCTGACCAGCTTCTTGGGAGGATAACCTGATTGAACACCTTCTTCTTGAAGCATTAAGCCATCTTCCCTGAGATCTCCATGAGAAAAAACAGACACTATACTACATAAAAAGGACACACTCTGGAATTCATTATACACACCAGTTTTGGGTTGCTTGCAGCTTAGCAGTGACTTTACAGCTGCTCTCAAGGCACTGATGAAAATGTTGATTATCCACTGCAAAGTCCTCAGGAGCTTCCTCTGCCCAGTAGTGATCACCCCTGTAATTGCAGACTGGAATTCTGCCTCAGCCAATGCCTGCTGCATTTCACACACTCCCTGTCCTTGCTCAGCTCCTGTGAACTCTCACACCACATGTTGCTAAACACCTTACAGAATGTTTTTTATGGAACAATCCCATGGATATCTTTAGCTCCTGAATTTCATACCCTGAAACTGAAACTTTGGCAGATGGCTCGTGCTACAAAAGGCATTAACAGAGCAAACCTGAGGAGGGTGTACACTGTCACCCAAACCGACACTCCAGGAAAGCAAAATCCCATTGCTATCTGTCCCCCCTCAAAACTGTTCAAACACAATACATTTTGACAACCAGGGCAAGCATCCCATGGGTTTAAGTTCACATTTCATCAATGGCCAAGTGCCCTTGGGACCCTAAATGGAAAAAAATCTAAATTATCACTCACATTCTTTCATCATAGTAGAATTAGAAAGAATGCCTGGTGTCAAAGTAGTTTAACACTTTCCATTATAATAAGACATTTTCAGTCACTGAGTGATCCCAGCATTTAAAAAAAAACAGGAAAAAAAAACTTTACAAATATTAATAAAGTATAACATCCATTTGACCAAGGGATTTGAGGGATTTGGTATGCCAGCTGGGTTTTGCCTCCTTGTTAAAATTCATTAAAAATTGGATAAATATTAAACCTTTGGAATTTCCTAAGGGCACACGTAAAGTAGAGGCCTTTCAGTTCCAGGAAAGGAGGGGGAAAAATAAAAAGGGGTCACAGACTCCACTTGCATTAAGCATGCTCTAGGTCTCACAAAAATGAAGATGATAAAAAGAAATTGTGAACAGCTACTCATTCAGTGAAACCATCTTATCATGGGTTTAAGCAGGCACTCCCTGGAAAAGGAGAGTGTGACCTTGAAACTAAAATAAATTTATAAGTTCAATTACGATTTCACATACACCTCTAAATATGGCATTGCCCAAATTCTGTGAACAATTCAAGCCAAAGGTCTGCAAGCTATTTAAAGTGGACAGAAGATGCCTTTTGTTTGGACATACACTCCATAGGGGATTCTACATAAGTTCTTGGATTTAAGTAGGTTTTATATGGCTTTTACATTACACATAAAACATTAAATAGAAAAGAAAAAGAAGAAAAGTTATAAACATTTGAGAATTTTATTCCTTGCTGCTGCTGGAACTGAAATAACCAGACATAGCACTGCTGTCCATCTTCCCAGCATTGTGTGAACCACAAGGACCACATCTGGGCTCCTCTCAGCTAGTTCAATGCCAGTGCAAAATAAATGGGGGTGCCATCCCTAGCTGGAAATACAGCCAGTCTGCTTTACTCCCTTCTATTTAGCTGTTTCTTCTGTTGTTCTTCATGACTATTTCCCTAAGCATTTCCTTCAGCTATCACACTGCTCTGAAGTTGCTCTGGCTCTCCCTCCTGTCTCATTTCTGTTTGCTCTGTAACTTCACTGGGCAGTTCCCCTGAGATTAGTTTTGAGGGACACCTGGGGGAGTCTTTCATTTTGGTGCATTTTCCCGCTGTAATTTCTAAAACAATTATAGGGAGGAACACGGAGTCTCAGCAGGCAGCTCTCACTTCCACCTATAGAGCAGGCACAGCCCCGCGCAGCGCTAAAGAACAAAAACTGCTTTCCTGGCTTATAATGACTGAAACCCCAGCCTTGTGGTTTGGCTCTGCAGCCCCGTGGCCCTGAGCTCCCTTCTCAGCGCTGTGGTTTCGCTGTGCAGCGTGTCCCGGGCAGGCTGCAGGGCGCAGCACCAGCCCTGAGAGCCCGGGGCTGCTCCCGACACAGCCCCGGCAGCGCAGCCCCTGCGGAGGCTCCGCCGCTGCCCGCCTCGGGTGGATGCGTGTTCAGCCTGATTGCACCCAGATGTTCACAGAGGCTTCCAAAGCAATCACTTCCCGTCGGGGAACGCTGTCCCTTTTTCTGGCTGGGAGGAGAGCCGAGGAGCAGCCGGCATTAGGAGGGAGGGCACGCTTTTCCTGCCAGATTCGGCAACTCAGACTCGCGGCTGGAGGTTGGGGGCATCCTCTGTTGTCTGCTGCAGTGGCTAAACCTGCAGTGCTTAAGGGTGGGCTTGTCACAATGCAATAACTCCTGTCCTGATCAGCACAATGATAAACAGTCAGAAAATGAGTCTGAAAACTGCTTAGGTGATGTTCCTGCAGCGCCTCGTCACCTCCTGGTACCGAGGTGGAAACCAGAAGGTCCAGGCTGGAAACTGCGTATCCTTGTGTTAAGCTTCCACTGTTATTACTTGTTGGTATTACCGTGCACCCGGAGTACCAGGCACGGATCAGTCCCAAAGGCTGCCAAAAGAAGCTTACACTATACAAGCATAAAGAAACAAGCATCACAAACAGGCAGACAGGAGAACAGGACTGAAGAACAAGCCTATGAGGGCCATGGCATTTTTAAGCGATCTTGGAATGTTATCCAAATTGTATAATTGCAAAGGACATCACTAAAGTCTTTAGAGGAAAGTATTTTAAAAGTACAAAAGAATTTAGATAGGCCAGGGCTTTCAAGCCAGTCTCTTGTACAGTTCTCACCCAGCAAGAGAGGCAGAAAGAGACACCACCCTCTATAGACACCACTCCGGGAATAAACTGGTACAGACATAACAGACCAAAGATTGGAGATTAGGAGGAAGGGATAAAAAGTGGCAGGGCTCACCAAATAGCTCCAGGGACAAGACAATCCAGCTGCAATCCCTCATTCTGTCCATTTGCAGAATACTGAAGGCTAATAGGCACAGCCAGTTGTAAACTATTTTTTGTCTCCATTCAGTTTTCCATCTCCTGTTCTCAGATTTACCAAGGCAAATCACAACATTCTCTAAAATAAGATATGGAAACTCAGAGCCTTAGCCAAGAAGCACCTCAGTGGAAAATACAAACCGCTAGAAGCAGGCTGAGTCTCCCACAATAACAACATTTCTAATATAATGAACAAAAAGAGAGGTAATGCCATTGCATCCAGATGATACAGATGCTGCCTCTGTGACTCTCCTGAATTTATGAGCACAATAGCTCACTGATGAATCTAGCTCTGATGGAAAAGGGGACAGGAGGATTGCAAAGGTCACCTACATGCAACATGAAGTCTGGGTATGCAATACTTTGCTGCAGAACAACCAAATGAAGAGACTGGAGAGGGAGTCTGTGGTAAACAGAGATTACTGCTCTCTTGAACTCTGCCAACACCAGAAATGGAGAGGAAGAAGGACATGAGGCAAAAAAAAGTCAAGAGATGATGCACTAGTCATAAGACCTCACGGTGCCTGTGAGCACGTTGTTAATTGGAATCTCTGCCCCCACCGAGGCTGGAATGTGGTTTATTCTCTACCACTCATCCACAAACTCTCACTGTCACACAAACAAGGTACAGCAAAACCACCGCAATCCATCTGCAGAGGCTTTTGAAAGGTTTCTGCTCAGGCATGACTGGATTAGATGTGGAAGGTGTGTTTCCACTAGAAAATAACCATCTTATCAGCCAGTGCTGCATTTCTCAGCGGTCAAGTAGACACAGAGGCCTAGAAAATGCTCTTCTGCAAGTGGTAATATAAATGAAGTTGCATCATTTGCACTGATTATCAAAGCAACAAGGAATTTTTAGCAACAAGAACAGAGGTGCTGAGAGGCTGCAGTCTGGGTTAATGGTCAATTGCCAGGCCCACTAGCCCATACTTCAAGCATATTTACCCAACTTTCTCAAAGCTATGGAGAACCCCTCACCATTCTCTGCACATGGCTCTGACGGCCAGCATTCATTCTGAATGAACCTATCTTCAGTTTCTAGAGCCTAGAAATGCTCTGGAGACTAGTTCCACTCTTATCTGCCCCACTGAAAAGCTCTTACTCTGCCTGAAGTAGGAGCTTTGCTCAAGCCTCTCCCTCATCTTCTCTTGGTTCTGCTGTCAAAAGTGATGCAGCTCTCGGACTACCCAACAACACGATACTTCTAATTTTTTACCAGTTTTGTTTCTTCTCCC